AAATAATAATTATACATATAATAATAATGATTGGTCAAATTGAAATAAAAACAAAATTAATGGCGAAATTTGGGAGAAAATCGAAACATAAATTGAGATTTGGGGTAAAATAAGAGTTTTTAATATAGGGGGACCAAAATTGGAATTCCCCTTTTAAGCGAAAAAACATACAGACCCTTCGGTCGGGTCGGGTCGGCAGGTTGTATAAAAGCCAAAAAAACCCAATTCACCCTCATTTTACCCATTCTCTCAAATGTTATCTTCTTCCTCTCTCCCAACTCTCTCAACATTCTCTCTACAAATCCCCACTAATGGAGAACCCGCCACCAGTCGACCGCCGACCGAAACCTCCCAAACACTCTCCACCACCCCTTTTAACTGAATCTGGCCTCGAAACAACCAAAACAACACTAGATCGAAGTAGATCTAGCCTAGAAGTCATGACTTCTTACCCTTCCCTCGCGAACCTTTCGACTTCCGGTCTCATCCCCTTTCGACGCTTAGATCGAGGCTTCTTGCTTTTATTTTTGTTTTTTGGCTGATGTTTTGGTTTATTTTGTGCTGTGGTTGTGTTTCGTTTGGGGTTTGTGTTTGGTTATGGCTCTTGATGTTACTTCACCGTGGTTTTTAGTTTTTGTGTTCGATAGCCTCTCTGTGTTGGCTCTTGGGTTTCGATGTTCTCGATCTGGCTCGTGGCTATGTTGTTGTGGGTTATGTGATCTTCTCGTTGGCCTCACCGAGGGCTTTTTATAGCCCCAGTGTTGGTTGGTTTGGTCTCGAAATTGGGGTGCTCGTGGTCATTATGAGATCGGTCATCCCGAGATAGGTCAGTCCCTGGATCAGCCGACCGTTTAGGTGTTGACTCCGGCTTATGCGGCGCTGAACTTGAATTGTGGAAACCCTAGCATACTTCGGGTTTTGGTTCTAGGCTGGGTTAGGCCCACTTCCCTCCAACCGAGATCCATTAGATTATTTGGACCTAAAACGAAAAAGAAAAAAATGAGTAAATAAAAATAAAAATAATAATAATAATAATAAATAGATAATAAAAATAAATATAAAAAATATAATGAAAAATAATATACTATATAATATATATTTTTTTAAAAATTGTTTTAAAAACTATACATAATATATATTTCAAAAATATTTTCAAAACCATATATTATATAATTTTAAAAATATTTTCAAACTATATATTATATAGTTTTCAAAAATGTTTTAAAACTATATTATATGTTTTCAAAAATGATTTTTTAAAACTATATATTATATATATTTTTAAAAATATTTTAAAAACATATAATATATATATATATATTTTCAAAATGTTATAAAAACTATATATTATATATATTTTTTAAATGTTTTAAAAAACTATATTATATATATATATATATATATATATATATATATATTTTCAAAATGATTTAAAAACTATATATTATATATATTTTCAAAATGTTTTAAAAATTATATATTATATATATATTTTCAAAACACTTTAAAAAATATATATTATATAAGTTTTCAAAATATTTTAAAAACTATATATTATATATATTTTTAAAATGTTTTAAAAAAACTATATATTATATATATATTTTTCAAAATGATTTAAAAACTATATATTATATATATTTTCAAAATGTTTTAAAAACTATATATTATATAAAATTTTTCAAAACGTTTTAAAAACTATATATTATATAAGTTTTCAAAATATTTTAAAAATTATGTATTATATATATATTTCAAAAAAATCATTTACAAATTATAATATATATATATATATTAGACGAAAATGAGTGTCTACATAAACTAATATAATAAAACTCAAATTAAAAACCATTATTCTATATATGTTGAGATTATCCAATCCATAAATAGATAAATACAAACCGAATAACATTTTGAAGAAAAAACGTGTTATTTTATCCACTTCCTAGTTTCAAGGAAGATCCCTCCAAGTACTCTTTTTTTGGTCATTTGAAGGGGATTGTTAAAATAAACTATTTTTGTCATTTGAGTGTTACCTTGAAGAAAGGACAATTTTGTATGGTCAATATTGACTTATCTAAAACTCAAGTCGTCGCCAATTAGGATTGAGTGACTGATTGGTAGGACGCAACCCTTTGTTGTATTTGTAAATTACACGAAAGGGATTATTAAACTGTACCTGAAGTTTCCCGTGGATAAATCTAATTTGTCTACCCACTCTACTCGCTCCAATTAAATATTTCTTTGACTGAATTTTTTTTATAATATATGTTATATATAGGAACATATCATTAACATGATACATCGAAATATTTTATAGGAACGTTGATCAATATTCTTAGTGGGTCTAGAATTCATTATCTTAGAAAATATAAGGGCGTAGGGATATACCACTTGACCAACCAATTAAACGTGAAGTTTGTCGTAGTACAATACATGGTTTGTTGCGAAATTATACGACAACTTCATATTGTAAATCTTATAATATGGTTCTTTTGTCGTTAGATAATCTTAAAAAATCGTCATTAATATATCAATCACAATTTAGTACTATGCTATTCATCACCTAACCCCTTCTTAACTCGAACTCAAGTCATAGCGGAGCGATGAATATTCACTCCCTATACATCAAATGCCATGTTGATGCAATCGGGATGCATAAGTAGCGGTGTCTGAAGTATCCACAGGGTACTGCAAACCCTAAAGTTAAACATAGCAGTTGCGGCAAAAGCAACGTGAAAGCTTCGCCATTTAAACTAAAAACAACAACAACAAAATTCCATAAACATACAGTTTAGGGATCCCATCGAAGAATATTGTTGGAGATCAAAGAAAGGCAGATTTGCAGCGTACATTAGCATATTACGTTAAAGAAAAGAGAGAAAGCGCTATTATTTTACAAATGAACTTCTTAGTTCACTTATAGAATTTAAAAAAAAAAATCTCTTTATTACATCGAAAACGAGAAGTTAATGGAATGAATTTTCAGTGAAAAATACATCAAGATTTAGAAAAATCCAAACGTGTGGATCAATATGTACTTGAATTGTCCTTTGGATAGGACTATGACTATTCTACACACTTGAACAATTCATTTCACTGTTTTCTTCCCATAAACAGAATCAAAACATTGACCCGTTGCATACAACGCAATTGCCATGCAAATTTAGTTGGTCTGAAATTTCTTCATCATCCATAATATTTCATTTTTTTAATTCAACATTGGCTGAACCACTTGGCAGCTGACGTGATCGGGCAATAACACGGAGCGGCTGACGTGAAACCGAGTGATGTTTGGTGAGTTGGGTCTTTCTCTTTCTCTTTATAAATACAACTCCATCATCATCATTAAAGAAGAAATAGATTAGACGAAATATAAAAACCAAACAGCAGCAGATTATCAGCCGAGGGGTGTCAAGTGTTTCTCTGCTTCTTTCTAACTACTCGTTATTAGTCTGAGTTTTGGCGTTTAATTATTATCACGTAAGTTCTTTTCATTTTTTTTTTCTCTTTGTTTTTTATATTGGTATATATTTATGCATCACATTGGTTTGATCATTTCTAACACAATATTGGATTTTTTCCATATATTATATCAATTATAATTATTATATTTATATTTTTTAATACCAAACCCTGTGCATGGATTGAATTGGTTTGCTTTGGAAATTTTTATTAACTTCAATTTCTTTTTAAAAATTATCATTAAATTTTACATTTTTCAAGTTATTTTTAAATTGGGCTATGTTGGATTTTGGATTATTTTCAAGTTCAACCAATCCTTTTAGAAACATTTTATACATTTAAGGACTTCAAGTGTAAGTTTTTTTTTTATTTAATTTAACATTTTATTCTTTTTCAATTTAAGTCAACTTTAAATACTAATATTTTAAAATAGAATAATTTATTATGATAAAAAAAACAGAATCGTTTATTCCTGATTTCAATTGTGCTTTTTTTGCATGAAAGTCCTATAATTGTTTTTGATCAATTTATAAAAATATTGATTAGCAAAAATCGAAAATATTAATGATTACTTACATGATAGTTATAGAAATGATACGTAATTAATTACATAAAATTTTTGAATTCAATTAAAATATTAAAAATTAGTGCAAAATATTCTCAATTAAATGAAAAAAAATTCTTGTGAATGTTTAATTTTTTTTATCCCTTTCCTTATATCATATTGTCAGTAGAATATTAAGTTGATGGAAAATTGGCTATATATGGTTTAGAAGTATATTGATGAATTAACTAGAATATTAAATTAATTATTTTTGAACCTTTTATTTTATAAAAAATAATTAATATTTAAATGTTTGAATGAATCGTGACACTAATTTAATCTATCAATCTATATATATATTTGAATTGTTTAAAAATATATTTTTAATGACCTGATAATGTCTCTTAATCGATAATTTTCTTTTTCTTTTTAACAGAGAAGGGATTAAACCCTAAAATCGTATTGAAGTTTGACTGACACCTAGCAGCAGCAATCTTCTTTAATACGTTTTGTTTATTTTGGCTAAGATTATCGTACCAAATTCTAATCAAGGGTTTTCCCCCCTAATAAAGTTAGTTTCTTATATTCGAGCGGTGCAGAGGTTAATTTCCCCGAGAAAAATCAGTTCATTTACCCCAGTAATTAAGGGGAAATATATCTTTAGATGAATAAAGCAAACCCCAAGGTTTCCATTTGACTCTTTGAAAGTTTGCTCTTGAACAAGATCGTGATTTTTACTAATTGCTCAAATTTTCCATATTTGGATTATTCTTTAACCGCACGAAGTTTCAACCGCGTTTCCGAATTTGTGCATCAAACGATTTGAAAAGGTGAAACAGACTATCACACCATTTCCGTTCTCTCCTTTTGGTTTTGGGCCTAGTCGAGAAACTTTCGCTACAAATTTTCTTTAGTTGAAAAGAAAAATTAATCCAAACACACAAATCCCTGTTGTTGTTTTAGTGAGAGGGTTCGGTTTCCTGGAAATATCTTTATAGAAAGAAGGCGAAAATCAAATTTTTAGCTTCAGGAAAAAAGTTTGAATAGTTAGGGTTTTCTTAAATTTGTTAAAAGAATTTGAAAAGACATGGGCGGCTGTTTTTCTGGTGACCTGAAAGGCGGCCAACAAGCTGTAGGTGGGGTTGATGGTAGGCCCATTGTGAATAATAATGCTGGACATAACGACGCCATTGATTACTATTTCAGAATCCGAGGTCAATTTCCTCTTTTTACTCAAGTTGAGGTACTATAATTTTTATTTTTAATTTGTTGGGTTTAAAGTTTTTTATAGGGGTTTTGCATCAAAATACAAATCATCTTTGTTTACACATAACTAAGAAGGAATTCTGAGATTTGACATTGATTTTACCATAGTACTCGTGTGCGTGACTGTATAGTTTGGATTGATTAGCGAGATTTATTGATTCTGTTATGTTATTTGAGCTCGAATTTTATATATATATTTTTTATATATTTAGATGATTTTTTTGTATCTATCATGTTGGTCTTATCATTTTAACCCTACATCTTTATCTGTTTCTCTGCATCAAACATCGAGCAAAATTGATGGTTTTGACTTATCGTGTTATGGATTAATTGATGTGTTATTATTGGTTTCTGCAATTTACTCAGCAAGTTTAGGCCATCTGCTTTAATTTTATTTCTTTTTGTTCAAACCATCTGCTTTATTTGGGTAGTTATGTTGCTTAATTTAAGATTAATTTAAGGCTGTTCTCAATCTAAAAAGTTATGCAACTTGTAATATTTTTTGTTATAGCTGAAAAAGTTACATTGCTGTGTATTTTGAGTTTACAACTAAAAAAATATATGATTTATAACATTTTTTGTTATAATCGAAAATGTTAAGAAGAAGATACTATTTTTAGTTTCAATTTAAAATGGTATTGTCCAACTTAAAAATTTATGCTTTTAATAATATTTTTAGTTACAACTTATATATGACTTTTTTTAATTTATATTAACAAGTTATATTTTAGGCTCTTCCAAATACTTTAAACTAACCCCACTTCAAAACTTGCGTCCCAATCATTGTTTCCCTGGCTGAAACAGAGCAAGATTCTCTTTTCTAGATTCTTATCCAAATAGTCAGCTACGAGGTAGAAACACAAGTTAATCATAGGGCTTGACATGACACCGTATCTTTTATTACCCTTTTATATACATATATTTACATATATGCATTTGTAATTTGATTCCTTCAATTTTATGCTGATGTGAATGTTTTATTAGCTTGGACCTACCAGAGGACAACCATTTGGACCCTTCTTGCCAATAGAACCTTTGACTATTATTTATTGGAGAAATATCTTCTGATTATTATAATGAATACATAAAGCTGTCAACTATTCATATCTTATGCATGAAGTACTTAAATTGGAATATGTAATTTTATTGGAGAGATTGTCTTCATGCTCAGTATGATGGAACACTGGAACTGTCATGTTCCTGTAAGCTATGAGAATGATGCATTGAAACAATTTCATGGATATAGTTGGGATAGCGAGATAAATTATAATATCCAATTACAAATTTAGATGCAGTGGATAGTTCATATTAATGTCATAAAAATGCTGCTTATTATGGAGTTTTATTGTGATTTAAATTTGCATTGCAGTTATCTATGTCAGCATCAAACTTGCGTGATCGTGACATCACATCAAAGGTAAGATTCTTGATAGATCTTCCTTCATTTTGGGTTCATGTGCCTGTATCATTTCCTAACGGCAAATATTAGAAATTTATGACATGAACTGCATAACTCATTGATGCTCAACATCTGAAAATAAGAGATATAGAACATGTACTGTGTAGCAAATACCTGAAAATTCAGGTCTTCTATTGCATGCTTTTGTCTACGTAGAAAAGTTACTTAAAAGTTGCAACTGCTCTTGTTTTCTGGTAGAGTGATCCTATGGCAGTTGTGTATGTAAAGAAAATGGATGGTATGCTGGAGGAGCTTGGCCGTACTGAAGTCATACTCAACAATTTGAATCCTGTTTGGATTCAGAAGATTAATGTTGCTTATCAGTTTGAGATTGTTCAACATTTGGTGTAAGCTTCCCATATTTTGTCAAATATATCTTTCAGATTACCCCCCCCCCCCCCAAAAAAAAATGTAGTTTTTGATTATGGATTTTGATATTCTTCTTCTTCTTTTCCTTCTGCTCCAGTTTTCATCTATATGATGTGGATACCAGCTATCACAACATACCTGTGAAGGTATGTCAAAATTCCTTCTTTTTTCCCCTCAAGGCTTTGTTGCTGGCAAGTTCTTCGGAGATATCAGTGGACAATGTCAAATTACTACGGCTTCTCTGCCAATCATAATGTTTCTAGTTTTTATTGTGCTAGATGATCCCAATTCCTATATTTCTTAAACCAAACTCCTTTCTGAATGAATTTAACAAATTGATTCATATAACACCTAACAAATGAGGAATCTAAGAACTTTATGTCAACAATCATAAAAGAAGATCAGATATTGATATATGTTTGTCATGGGTATGCTTAATCTCCTAGGGATTTGGGGGGTCCTATCTTCCATATCGGACTTGGGAATTTCAAGAAAAATGAATAGCTAGAGCTGAATAGCTAGAGCTGCATAGCTTAGCTGTAAAAGTGTTCCCCCCCCTTTTTTTTACAAATTTTACCATTGGAACAAAAAGTTTCCAAGTAGTGAAAGAACAGTTGTATCATAAAAAGGATTTTGTTTTGTAGATATGTTGTAATTTCTTTCAACATAAGGAATTTACCGTATGCCAAGTACCTCTGCTTTTTATATTATTTAATTTTCTGTTGTGTTGCTTTGTAGGCACTAAAGTTGAATGAGCAAGATTTCTTGGGAGAAGCCACTTGTGTTCTGTCTGAGGTAAGTTGCCTCCCATCCATTATCGTTTCTTGTATCATATTATGTACTTCTTTAATATCAACTAAAGAAGTAGTAGTACTTTTTAGAATTACTTCATCTGTTGAAAAATGCACTTTATTATTCTTCATGGCTACTAAAACATATTGCATTTCCCTCTGGCTGTAATAGGATTTACTTGCCACTGCTAGTTTTCCAAAAGAAGTGGCTTAGAACCATGATACTATTTAGCATGAATTGTTAGATTATGCTCATTGCAACACTGCTAACATATGTGTTCTCTTTTGGTTGGCAGATATTAACCAAAAGAAATCGGTCTTTAACTCTCAATCTCCATGGGAAAAATGGTCCAGGAGGTTCCAGAAACTTTGGGACACTGACCCTCTATGCTGAAGAAACCTTTTTATCCAGGATGGTTGTTGAGACGAAATTGCGTTGTTCCCAGTTAGACAACAAGGACATGTTTTCTAAAAGTGTATGTGCTCATTATACAACTAGTTTAGCTGTGCGCTTGTGTTCATGTTTTTTAACTTCTATACTCTTATTTTTGCTTATAGGACCCTTTCTTGAGAATATCAAGACAAAGCGAAAGTGGAAATTATGTTCCAATATGCAAGACAGAAGTGATAAACAACAATTTAAATCCAGTTTGGAGACCGCTATCTCTGAGCATGCACCAGTTTGCAAGCAAGGCAAGCTTGCTTTCATTTTGGCTCCTGTGATAATATCTTAAAAGTTTATAAGATTTTTGGTACCATAGTTATGTTTCTATTCTCCATGTTGAATACAGGAAAATCCATTACTTATCGAATGCTTCGATTTCAACAGCAATGGCAATCATGTACTTATTGGGTAACTTTTTAAAATTTTGGCTTATGAATTTGTTGTTTTTGTGCGGTTTTAGCTTTTACTAGTTAAAACTGTTTGTTGCCTGCCAAGAAAAAGGCTGACTTTGGTCTTCTTTATCTACTTTAATCAGCCAACTTCATAAATCAGTTTCGGAGTTGGAAAAACTTCACAAAGAAGGAAGTGGTGCAAATTTGGTTTTCCCATCTCATCGTGGTCGGGAAAAGGTGTTCACTGTGCTTGGCATCCATATTTTTACTAAAAATATGTTGTATTCTTAAACATACCTTTGCGTCACAGGTTCTGAAGGGCCAGCTTTTTGTAGATCAATTTATTGAGAAGGAGCAATTCAGTTTCGTTGACTACATTTCTAGTGGGTTTGAGCTAAATTTTATGGTTGCCATTGACTTTACAGGTAAATAATCATTGTGATCTATGATATACATGTCCCAAGCATTTTTGTTTCCCCAGTTCTTATATTCATGTTCTGGTTCAAATTTAAATATTTGACTTGTCCAGCTTCAAATGGGAATCCTCGACATCAAGATTCCTTGCACTACATTGATCCTTCAGGCCGGTTGAATTCTTACCAACGAGTAAGTCGTGGATAACACTTTATAATGCATTTCTATTGAGTTTAGATATGTTCTCCATGAGATAGCACTAGAATTTTCCTTGTTTGAATTCCTATAATGGTGGCTAACTTAATATGACATCTTAACAGGCTATAATGGAGGTTGGGGAGGTTATACAATTTTATGATTCGGATAGGAGGTTTCCAGCTTGGGGTTTTGGAGGAAGGACTCATAACGGCACTCTATCCCATTGTTTTAACTTGAACGGTACAAATGACTATGAGGTAAGAGAAGCCAAGTTTTTTGTTTTCACCATGATCCTTCACCTCAAAAGTTGCGAGTTCTTCTAAGACTAGTTATTTACTTCCATTAAAAGGTTGAAGGAGTTCATGGCATCATGTCTGCTTATGCTAGTGCGCTGCACAATGTCACTTTGTCTGGACCTACTTTGTTCAGCGATGTAATCAACAAGGCTGCACAAATGGCTTCCCATGTTGCCTCAAATGACATTACCAAATATTTTGTACTGCTCATTATAACGGTAAAAAACGAATTGCCTCTATGCAAGTAAAGAATTGTTATTCATTGAATGAACTTAGAGAGATATGTGGTGTTATGCAGGATGGAGTTTTGACAGATATTCAAGGAACAATGGATGCTTTGGTTAGGGCATCTGATCTTCCTTTATCCATTCTTATAGTTGGAGTGGGGAATGAAGACTTTAAACAAATGGAGGTATTACATATTATTCTAGAACAATCTTTTGAATTGTGTCACCGTTTGCATTACTAGCATGCTATAGTTGTAATTTTTGTACTAAAAGGATGATAAGAAAATGGTTTTGGTTCTTGTTATTTTGTAGATTCTGGATGCTGATGATGGACATCGATTGGAGAGCTCAACAGGTCGTGTTGCTACACGAGACATTGTACAATTTGTTCCCATGCGAGAAGTGCATAGTAAGCCATGTTCTAAGCCACCAAACTTTTCCGTTTTAGCAAGCCCTTTCTTCCCAACTAAAAGTATTAGAGAGTTGAACTCATTGAGTGGCCTTAATGATAAAAGTGAATGTTGTTCTCCTTAGAAGATCTAGGTTTGAGCAGATGCATCTGTCGTGAGTGTGTGCACGTTGTCAATAGGCTAAGAAAAATTGTGAACTGATACTATTTTATAATCACCCAGCCTTGGATATGGTGAATGCTGACTCAGCAAACACTTTGCTGGTTTTACTTTTGATTTAACAATGTTTTTTTTACAGGCGGGCAGATTTCTTGTGTTCAAGCTCTACTGGAAGAGCTGCCGGGACAGTTTTTGACTTACGTGCGATCTAGAAACATCAAGCCACTCTATGCTTGATTGCCCTCAAAGTCTCAGATTAGTCTTTTGATTTTAGTAGTAGTATCTGTATGACAACAAATCTTTTTTAGGATTGACTCTTATTCGGAAGTAGAGGTGAAGCCAATGTCAATATGCCGTGTTCATGGTTTATATGATTCTTTATTTCTTATGCAGCATTCTGAATCCTATCAGCAAGCTGGAAGTTAGTTTTTCTTCATTGGTACTGCTTTGATTAGTTGATGATCAAGTTTGCTTATCCTCCAAGTTATCATTGTAAAAACATCTAGAGAAAATCAAATGTTAAACAACATTGTTCTATCTTAATCAAATTAAGAGTCTGTGAATGAATCGATGGTGCTTAACCAAAATCCGTGCCATCAATTTTTTGTTATCATGATTGATGTTAGATATATATTTTTTCATTTAAATGTGTTCCCTTATTTGAATTGAAAATCCAAACCAAACTTTAAATACAGTAAAAGAAACGAATCAAATTACTTTATTTCATTGTCAATGTGAGTTTGGTAATGATAATCGTGTGAGAGTCTTTAAGCTGATGTTTTTTTGTTGGTGTTTGGTATGGAGGATTTCGATAGATTTAATGATTAGTGATTTTGTAGGGAGAACCCAAACCAGTTGAGACACTTACAAATGCTACCCTCTAAATATGTAGACAGAACCTTTCTCTCTCAATCGAATCATTTTTTATAAGATCATCAAATTTGACAATTCTTTAACATATCAACTGTTTCATTGACCACGTCCTTTAGCTTCGATCTTTGTTACTCACTACTCATTTTTTTCATGATATTATATTGGAATACTGACACTAAGATACGATCTTCTAAATATATGAAAAATCAAATAAACTAAATATAATCTATATTTGATACCTGGTTTGAATATCATTGATTTCAACTCTCAAATGATCCAAATGACGTCCTTCATAGTTACCAAAATCACGCAATTTGACCATGCATGCAGTTGTGTAATAAAATATGTTTTTTTCCCTTAATTTATAATAATGAAAATTTCAATTTCTATACGACAAATCTGGCAGAGTTTCTTCGAAATTTTCTACAATTTTCTCTTCTTTTACAAAACTCTTGACAATCCCATTAACTGTAAAACTTCATAAGAGAAAATACCTCTGTTGCGCCATGGATAAATGGTATTTCATTCAATCCGAATCACTTTTCATACTCCCCATGGCTTTTAATCCTCTTGGTCTCCACATAATGGACAAAAATTGAAATAAATAACCGATGATGCTCAGAATTAGGCGAGGTGTCAGATATGTGCAAAGACTGAATATGCTAATTTTTTCATATATTTTAAGGATCGTGCCCCTTAAGTCCATGCCTATGTTGGACACAGATATTTCAAAGAAAACGAAAAGCAAACGACTACTCGCAGAATATATTGAAAACTGAATATATATATATATATATAGACTCGAGCGTACCTTCTTATAACTCTTCTTTTCCCTAACTTCATACCTCTCTTGGCACATATCGGTCAACCATGCACCGGGGCTCACCAACTGCCAATCATCAGATGATTTCAAAAATTAGACCTAAACCGATATTGCAAATAAATCCAGGAAGATATATGAATAAATCTCAGTCCTACATTAATCTAGATACAAAACTGTGTTACTTGGACTTGGTTGTGAATGTTGAAACAGGAATGTTTAAACTTTAAAAGTTTTTTTTACAAACTTGGAGGGTCTTATTGCTACACTCATATCCGGATATATATCAAACACGAGCATCAAAGATATAGGCACTTCAAGTAAAATGAAGACTTGGACCAACAAAACTGCGTATGACTGGAATTTGATGGTTCAATTATTGAAAGTTCAGCATAGATTCATCAATGTCAACTTACAAGTAAGCTTCTTTGGATGATCTTGGCTCTCTTTTTAGGTCTTTGGGGAGGTTTACACCCTTTCATCGCAATAAAATCCTCCTCTTTCTCTTTGCTTGACAAGGTTTACACTAGTGCTTTGTTATGATCTCCATTACTACAATCCACTGCAACCTTCCCATTATCATCCATTAGACTCACCGCCAATCCCCTTGTTGTGTAGTAGCGATCTTCCTTCTCTAGTGATGAGTTTTTCTGGTGCTCGGTTGTAGTCGACCGGAGTATAGCTGCCTCGGAATTCCTACAATTAAACATGCAAAAAGAGAATTTCACAAACTTTTACTAGTTTGCTAATACAAATTTTACCAGGGAATCTCTTAACACCATGTTTGGTTTGCTAAGGGACTAAAATATAACAGCCATCTAATTAAAAGGGCATAAAACAAACAAATTCAAACTTGCCTTCTCTCTTTTTCCCTGCAACCAAACAGTGGGAAAGGGAAAATTTCCCAACCTCATTTTCTTGGGAAATTCCTCGCACACACTAGGTGGCTGAGCTCCATTCGCAGCTAAGAAATTAAAACAAAATTCATTCTTTTCCCAACCTAGCAGTTTCTCAGAAATCAAACACACGGGTAGCGAAAAAAATCCAAAAAAAAAGGTTTTAAAAACGTATGAAAATCTCATGATCCCAAACAAACAAGAGGTGCCGAGAAAATTCATATTTCATTTAAAATCCAAAAAGAAAAAAAATACTGATCTTCTCTTACCTAGTCAGACGATGATTGGATCGAGAAGAGGGAGATGAATCTTTACAAAAAAGACGACAAGTGATTCTTCTACGAACTATAGCATTCGATTTATGAGATATTTTCTGAGGGTCTTTAACTCTCACGCATCTTAGCCCCTTTCTGTTTCCCCACTGTAGAAACAGCTCTGAATCTATTGTTTTGCTTGTCCTTTGGTTCCTCTCGTCTTTCTCCATCTCCGGCTCTGGTATCAAAACCAGCAAACAAATTCCAATTCTCTTTGTTGAAGAGAACCATTAAAGTGGCTTATGATGTGAAATTCGAAGAGATGATGAAAAATCAAATCTTTGGTTTTTTCTATTTTTGTTCAAGTAAAATCGAGATGATTCATCAGAGATAAAGAAAGATAATATATATATGAGCTTACATATACATACTCAAAATTGGAAGTTGAGAGGAATTTGTTGGCTGACTTCAAAGATCTAAACAAACACACTAGAGTTTCCTCGTAATTCCTGAAAAGCAAGATAAAGTTGGTATCAATTGGCAGGTAAAAGAAAGGAAAAACTGAGGGTACGTTTATAGTAAAATGTTTTTGAGAAATATTTTTTTTTCAGTGTTTGGTAAAGCTGATAGGTCAATATAAATTATTTTTCTGATTAATATAATATTTTTGTGTTTTTAAAAAAAAAAAATCTACGATCTGATTTTTTGTAAGTTATTTTTAAAATTTTTCATTTCAAAGAATAAATATATAAAATAATTTTATTTTATGAATTTAATATTAATAAACTTTTTTAATAACATTTTAATCAAAATATTAATTATTAAACATTTAAAATATATTTATTAATATTTTTAATAATAAAATATTATATTTTTAATATTATAATAAAATAATCAATTATATTATAATAATATAAGATATTATATTTTTATTTTAATAATATATAATAAATTATTAATAAAATTTATATTATTTATTAATTTCATATAAATAATATTATTAAATTATTAATAATGAATAATATTATTTATATATTTAATGTTAATCTAATAATCTAATAATATTTTAATAAAGAAATATTTTTATTAATAAAATTATAAAAATAATATTTTAACAATAACTAAATTATTTTAATATTTTAAAAATAATGATTTTAAGTTTTATGATAAATAATATTATTTATTGTATTTAATATTTGTAATAAATAATTTTTTAAAAATTCATCAACTAGTAGAAAAAAGGTTTAAACAATATCTTCCAAATATTGTAAAATATTTTTCAAAAACTGTTTTTCAAAAAATATAATTGATTTTACAAAGAAAAAAAAATTACGAAAAATGATTTTAGTAAAACTGAGAATATTATATTAAAAGGAGGAGGAGGAGGAAGAAGAATAAATCTTACAGCAAAATTACAATAAACCCAGAGAAGAAGAAAAAGTAGGATTTCCCCCCAAAACTATTGCTTCAATAAAAATGGTCGAAGGAATTTGAAAATGAGGAAGGCTTCTCTTCTGTTGCCACTCTGTTTCTCTTTTCAGCCTATTATTTTTGTGTTTGCCTTCTCTCTTGAGGATTCTGAATTATCCCCTTTGTTGTATTTGTTTATGCATCATCAAGGCTTTTATTATTCATATATATACAAAAATTTAAAATAATTATTAAATTAACACTAACACTTAATTTTCTATCAAAATAATATTAGGGATAGATATGAGACTCGAACCCTAAGGGTTTCGACCGACCCAACCCTATCGGTTCAGATTTTTTTAAAGGTGATGTTCGGGTCGAGTTAGGTTCGGGTTTAGGGTGAAAAATATTTGACCCGACCCAACCCCAAAAAAATTATAATTTTACCTTATATATTTTGGAATAATTACAATAATACCCCTATATATATTATTTTTTAATTAAATCACTGTTTTTATTGAATAAAAATAATATTTTTTATTATTTCGGATTGGGTTGGATCGGATCGGGATCGGATTTTATTTCAAAAAGTCGTGTCGGGTTCGGGTCTGGTGGAAGGCATATATTATACCGGCCGGATCGGATTTCGAATAGAAGAGTCATTATTCTCGGATCGGATAAGGTGGATCAAAAACCCGATCTAACCTAATCTATGCCCATCCCTAAATAATACTCCAATTTATACTGCCATTGCGTTTTCTAAAAGATTTAATTATTGTGCAACCACCTAAAACTTTGAGTCAATATTTGAAAATTGATCCGAGTTAGTTAATGATAGGTTTAAGTGTATCGGGCTTGTTAGTTATGTATCTGGGCCTTATTGGAAAGGAATTGAAGGCCGCATTAGCGACTTAAGGGATGCAGCGAGTAAATGAGGAGGACCAAAGGAATAATTTTCCTTTTAAAGGAAATAAATCAGAATCTTTCTGCAGGGGACCTTGTTTTGGACGCATAGGGGACAAAGTGGACTCCCTGCCTAGCCATTTCTCTCTTCCTCCGTTTGCTTTCTTCACCACCTTTGATTCTTGGTATCACTAGAACTCACTTTTAAGCAAGGTTGGTCCTCACTATTTTTTTTTTGACTTGGGGCGAAATAAAAAAAATTAGTCCTTAATTTAGAGAAATTTAACAAACGTATATTAATTTTATTATTAAAGTAAACAAATAGTAATTTTTTATAATCTTAAAATGTTCAAAATATATTTAAGCATACAAAAACTTATAGAAAATATTGCCTTTGAGCATTTTTTGATGCAAAATCATTTATGATAGTATCAACATCGCTTTCCAACATATTTTTTCCAATACATAACATAGCTAGCCTATTCAATCTTTCTTGTAACATTGTTGACATCAAGTAATTTTTCAATAATTTCAGCTTTGAAAAACTTCTTTCCGCCGATGCTACTGTCATTGACATTTTTAATAGGATTTGGTAAACAATTGAAACATTAGGATAACAATCTGCAGCTTTAACAAACTCAAGAATTTCAAGCGTTGACATGAACGCATTTGGAAAAATCAATTGCAACACTTTCATTTCAGGAAAAAAAAGTCATCTGCATCAACATCCGACAAATTATTATGAGAAAAAATAATCTTAAAATTATTGCAACATTCTCTTAATTTATTATCATCTAGTGACCTCAACCTTATAGAATCAATAAAAAATCCAAAACAATTTTTAAAAATCTTTAACTGCTCAAATCTATCTTTTAAAAAAGCAACTGTCATATAACCAACAACAAAAAAATAATTAACTCTAAAAGACTCCTCTGATGTTTGCATTTCTTCATCATGGTCATTATCATTAAATTGTCTTTTTCTAAAAATATGACGCTTAGTCGGAAAATTTGACTCTATGTTCATATCTAATGCAAGACTTTTGACAATATTTATACTAACTTTGAACCCATTGTTTCTATAGTTTTCAAAATATGACATTACACCTTCCAACTTCTTTATGATAGTATCAATGCACATTGATTTAGATTTTAATTTCTTATTCACCATATTAATTACAAATAAAATATCATACCATATAACCATTTCAAGTAAGATTTTAAAACATTCAACGACACTAGCTAAACTTTCTGCTTTAGCATCATTACCACAAGATTCATATAATTGTAACAAAGTTAATTTTATTTAGGAGAATGAAATTTAATAGCTTTGGCACTTTTAATTCGACTTTCTCACTGAATATCAGATAAAGATTTTACAGTTTCTAGAACATTATCACAATTTTTTTTCACCTTTTGGTAGAACTTGCGAACAATGAATATATACGTTGCACGATCCCAAAAAATAAAATAGTTTTAACACAAGAACGTGTCATATCAAAAAGAAAAAGATTAAATTATTACAAGCGCATGACATATATAAAGCTCTAGGATTTATTTCAAGCAATCTCTTTTGAACTCCTTGGTATTTTCCTTTCATAATAGAGTCGTTATCATATCCTTGGCCCCTCACATCATCAACATTCAACTTGAGAAATTGAAATGTATTTACTAATTCATTAAAAAGCCCCAATCCAAATATATCATCCACTTTCAAAAACTCTAGAAAGTATTCTTATATATTTATTTTGTTGTTTGACATGTTTACGCATCGCACTATTAGAGTCATTTGTTCTCGATAGCTTACATCAAGGGTACAATCAAGAATAACAGAGAAATATTTTGTCTTCCGAATGATCTTTAGAATATAAGTTCTAATACTATGAGTCAAGAGAGAGATTAGTTCATTTTGAATTTTATGACCAAGATAATGATAATGGATATTTTCATTTTGAATGCGTCTAATATGGTCTTACATAAACAAATAAAATTATGTAATCATTTTAATTAACCCAAAAAATTTCCATTATTGGCATCACAAATTTTCTCACTAAATCCTCGAAAAGCTAAATTATTTTTAGCAAGAAATTTTACAACACTTATTATTCTTATTAAAATTTATCTCCAACGTTCTTTCTCTTTTGAAATTCCTTATTGTAAATCTTTATCAAATGTTTGATTAGTTTTTAATCTCACTCTTAATTCACTCCAAATATTCATATAAATCATATGCTCAATATTATTCTCATGTTGTTCGAGTCTCTCACTAGGATGCTTCCAATCATTTAATCCATCATTTGCTAAACAACTCTTGTTGCTTTGTTTTGTAAACAATTTACAACAAAAACAATAAACTTTATCTACATTTTTAGAATAGACCAATCATTTTCTATCACTAGTCTCTCCATTACTCATCTTTCTAGAAAAATAAGCATATGAAAAATGCCTAGAATTATTGGCTAAGAGAAATTTCAAATTTAATTCTCTTATAGGCCCTTTTTCAACTAAAATATCTTTAGATTTATTATCAAGATTACCCAAATTTCTAGGATCATAAATGTCTAAAGGAGGAACTAAGTTTTGATCAATCCCAACATCTTCAACATTAGACTTATTTTGTGCATGATTATGGTCATTTAAATTAGAAATGCCATCATCTATATGATTTAGGATATTATCATGGTCATTTGCATTAGTAGCACCCACATTGATATAATTTGGAGAACTATCAAGATTATTTAAATTCACAGCAATATCATTTAAATTTTCATTAGAAGACTCTCCTACTTTGTTTTTAAAGAATTTGTTAAGAACTCCTTTTTTTAATTATATTAACTCATCTCTTTGTTTTCTTTTTTTATAACTACCAGACAAATTTTTTTAGGCGACATTATATGTAATGCAACTAATGTAGAAAAGAACAATAACACTTGTAAAATGGGAAAATCCCCGATCGAAGTATTTATATACCAAATCTGCAACACCGTAAAAAATGAACTTTGAAATTAAATAAATAATTTACAATAGAATTTTAAAAATAAAATCTTTGGTCGTAGTATAATAAAATATATTTAAAAAACAAACCCAAGAACTTGGTGATAAAAAATCCAAAAGAAATAAACTCCAATAGAATTTTACCTACAAAGTTATAATTGAACTTGGAATTGAATTGAAAAGTCACAATAGTAAATTTAGACGAATT